CCTGAAGAAGAAATGAGGGGAAATCTTGGAAGAGGCATTCCTGTGTGCCCTGCTGGAGTAGACCCCACCAACATATACATCACTGAAATACAGGAACTTTGTTGTGCAGATGTTCCTGAATAACAGAGGCAAGGCAGATTTTGATCTCAGAATAAAGAAAAGGTTTTGTTTTGGGTCAAAGTTGTCCAAAATATAAAGTTGCCAGAGAGATAGTGAGTTCATCATCACTACAAGATGGTACAGGGTGTTTTCATGTTGCACACAGATTTGATGGTTTTGAATTTATCAGTGCTGAGGTTACATGATCCTTCTGCTTGCAATAAAGGACCCAATAGGATCTCTGGTACTTGCCTAGAGATGAAATTTCCTATCATGAATAGATATTATTTTTACCCACCTATGAGATATCACAGCAGAATATGGGCATGCTGAGTTAGATAATCCTGCCTATTATCTTTATCCATTTTAAGATACGACTTTGGTTTCCCTTGTAGACTTCATTGCAGAATGAAAAATGTTCTTACCAGCTCGCTAGATTATTCCACTCACTTGGCAGTTAGAGTTCTAAGGGAAGTGATTAAATCCAGTTTTTATTGCTTGCAACTGTAGACAAATAAAAGTGACATTCCTCTTCTCTTTGGAAGTTTTCCAGGCCTTTGAGTTCCTAGGAGTTAGGGACCAAGATAATTTATGTGGGAAATGTGCAGTTAAGCTTTTTAAGGTATTGGCAGGGGGTATGTGGGGAAATCAGGTAGACGCCAAAGGATTTGGAAAAATAACAATTTATTTTTCCTTGGAGATAGAAAACTGAGCCTGTTGGTACCAGGCCTTCTAAGGCAGCGGAATCTTGAAAGGGCTGGCCACTGGGAAGCTGCAGTAGTCTGAACTCTAAGGCATGGCAGCCTGTAGGAAGAATCCTGATGTCCCCAGATGAAATGGAGCTACTGCAGAGCCCCCTTCCACAGAAAGCCCTCTGTCCCCACACCAAGTCTACCTCTTGCACTTCCTACTAACAGCCCTCACCCTCTATGAAGTTGGACTGGGGAGTTAGACCTCAGCTAGGACACTGACACCCCAATGGTGACACCCAGTGGTCATAAGGAACAATTGCATAGATGGAGATGGTGTGAGCCTCCTGATTTAAAGGCATAATCTAGGGAAAGGAAGGATAATTAAAATAAATGAAAATGGGCTTTCCACCAATTATCACTGGTGGGGGCTTAAACTCTTCTAACTGTATCCATGAAAATAAAACATATGTCACTGCTTGAACTCAAATGTCAAGGAGTAATTCATACCTGAAACTCTGGTCCTATTAATAATCACCAACACCTTCATCTGAAGTACACATCTCCCCAGTCATTATCTATACCCTTAATCTGTTTTCTTTTCTTAAGATCCTATAACCAGCATATGGTTCATATGTTTTCTTTTGTTTGTTACCTGTATCTTCCTATTGGAATTTAACTTCATGAAGGCAAAGATCTTGTCTTTCCTATGTGCCACTATAGTTTCAGCTTTTAAAATAGTGCCTGGAATAAATTTGTTGAATTTAGGGAGCAGAAACTATGTTCTAGGAAATGTGCTATGAATTTTACTGATGTTACTTTATCCTTAAAATAGCCCAATGGGGCTATTATTATTCCATTTCATAGATCAAGGAACTGAGGACCCAAAATATAAACTACTGAGCTCTACTTCCCTTCACCATTCCTGTTTTCCATCTCACTATTTGCCTTTCTTAAATATCCCCCATTTTTCCTTCTTTGGGTTGAATCATGACCCTTCTCTCTTGGCTCTCAAACAACTCACATGTAACTATCACAGCACTTTTGACATTCATTATCGCTAGTGTTTGTATCTCCCTATAAACTCTCAGTTCCTTGAAGACAGTATCCCATTTTTGTGTTCACAAGACAATGTAAGGCCTAGAACACAGGAGGTATTAAAAAATGCTATTATATGATGTAAAACTGGTGACCTACTTTCAGTCAGTGATTGAATGAAGGAATAGGTTATCATGCTCCTCATTCTTAGGCACTCCTCTTTGCTTCTCATTTTTCTTTGTAATACTCTTGCTGTACTGCAGCAGGGAACAATCCCCAGCCCCTTATGAGGGTCTACTCTGTACCAAGCAGAGTACTTGGTATGGAAAGTACAGAAATTAATAAAACTGTCCCTACCGAAAAGAGCCATAGTCTAGTAGAGTAGGATGGATGAATAACTGCAACAAGCACAATTAGTGCCATTAGCACTTTGGGAAGTGCAAGTGGTGCTTTGGAAGCAAGGAAGAGAAACAACTAGCCTTGAAACAAGTGTGCCTTGGCTGCTTTTTGCAGGAGAGTAGAGATGAGACTGAGCAGTCTGACACCATATTGGTTGAATACTCAATATCCAAAATGCCCTGGGCCAGAAGCTTTCTGGATAACAAAAAAATTTCAGATTTCAGAACATAGAAATTTGCATATACATAAAGAAATATCTTAAGGGAGGAATTCAAGTCTAAACGTAAAGTTTATTTATGTTTTATATATGCCTTATACACATCGCCTAAAGGTAATTTTGTACAATAATTTTATACCTGCATTTTGACTGTGACACATCACATGAAGGTAGATATGCAATTTTCCACCTGTGGTGTTCTCATTTAAGACAAGGTTCTCCCAAGGGGACAGTAGAATCTCAACTCAGCCCAGTCAAGTTTTTCACTTATGCCATTGGAAAGAATTTCAGGATGGATCAAAAGCAAAGCAAGCACAAGCAAAGATTTACCAAAGGACAGCCAAGCAAAGGTATACATACTCACTCAAAAGGCAGAGTGCAGACACCTCTTGCCTCTCAGAGAAGAGGAGCAATGTACCTATGGTTGAGCTCTCTGACTAGATATAGGATTTTCCTGGGAAGGAATGTGGAGGTTCCTGGGTCAGCTTTTGTGAAAATTATATTCCATGTCAGTCACCTGATATTTGGGGTTCAGAATATTTCTTCTTGATTAAGCAGTCTAACCATAAATCAGTTGTGAACACATTGTTTAGGTCTTTTAATCTGGTGACATTTTAATTAGGTTTCTGTTCCAATGGATCTGGTACAAGCATATGCTAGAGGTTTTGATCATCTAACTAAACAGACAAGCATGACTGGTCTTGCTCACAGATCTGTGCCTCCATCTAGTAAAGATCTCTTTCTCCCTGAGAGTCCACCTATCACAGTGTCATTTCAATATTGTGGAGGATTTTGGATTTCAGATCTTTGGATTAGGGACCACAACCTATAGCAGCGTAAGCAGAAGTATACTTATAAAAATGGGCAAGGACCAGCTCATGAAAGGCCTTGAAGATAACATTAAAGATCCTGAGCTTTATTCTGAAGATGATGGGGAGACACTGAAGGGTCTGACTCCGGAGAGTAATGTGATCAGATTAGAAATTCGAATACTGGTCAGGGGGAAGATAAAGTCTAAAAGAAGACAAGCGGATACAAGTGTTTAAAAAAAAAAAAAAAAAAACCTGTAGAGATCAAATTGATATAATTTTCCATATTGGAGGGCTTGAGTGTTCTTGAGCCAATGAAGTCTCCCAGACTTCTGTGTAGATGATGATACCATTTGCTGGTAAAGAAAATACAGAAAGAGGGAGAATTTTTGAACCATTCCTAGTAGGGCTGCTACATAGCAGATACTCAGTAAATAACTGTTAAGTTGCAATGAAACTTATTTAAAAGGTAGAAGATAGATTGCTACTTTTGGAGTCCTTTTCAACTACAGCTCATCATAGTGGTCTGGGTTGTAAGAGGCTGGTAGGAGAGGCCTGGAAATGAATGTCAATCAAAAAGAACCCAGAGTAAAAAGAGGAATGATTAAAGAATTCTGGAAAACCCAACTCTTTTTTGGAGGGGAGGGGGGTCCCAGGGATTGCACTCAGGGTCACTTGGCCACTGAGTCACATCCCCAGCCCTATTTTGTATTTTTTTATTTAAAGACAGGGTCGCACTGAGTTGCTTAGTAACTTGCTTTTGCTGAGGCTGGCTTTGAACTCCTCTGCCTCGGCCTCTGGAGGCCACCAGCTGGGCCAAAAAACCCAACTCCTAAGAGGGCAGAGGAAGAAACTAAAAAAAAAAAAAAAAAAAAGACATCTATTGAGCACATACAACAAAGGACTGTACTAGGTTCTTAAAAAAATATGATTCTATGTCCCCATGAAGAAAGTGTTTAAGGAGCAAATGGCCAGCGGGATGTTCTATGTGCCACTGGAGTAGAGCCCAGAGTCAGGGGAAAGTGGCAAAATCATCTGACATTCAAGCCACTTCCAGTCCCAATATTGCCTATTCCTTGTACTGCCTTCCCCAACCCCACCCTCACCCTTTCACATGGAGTCTGAGTAGATGAAATAATTTTTATTGATTGTGAGTGCAAGTAAGTGTAAGCTGCGCCTCTCCTGTTAGAGGACACAAGGTACTAGGCTGAAAAAAGGAAGGGAGGGCCAGGAACGGAAGGCCATCGCTGGGCAGTGGATGCAGGATTCGCTCCTTATTTGGGCGTGAATGCTGCATTCTGAAAGGATTTATTTTGGGATAAGGCATAGGCACAGGGGATTTGAGTAGCACCCAGCTATCAGGCTGCACTTTCTGTTTGAAGCACAGCTGCTTCAGCAGGCCCGGGTCTCTCGGGATCTTCCTCCGTGTCCTGCGGAGGCTCTGGCTCCACCGTAGACTCCAGCGTGGGCTGGACAGCTTCAGGCTGGCCTTCAGCGCTCCTGCCTGGCCCAAGGCGAGGCGGCTTGACTGGTGTGGATGGTGGCGCCGCAGGGCCTTTCCGGCCCGAAAGGGCCCTTCGAAGGTTTTGAACCTTCTGCAAACCAGTGCGCCGCAACCGCTGAGCTCTGGACTCCACAGGCTCTTCGTCAGAGCTCTCTGCAACTTCGGCCTCTGGCTGCTCTGGGCTCAACTCCGACTGGTCCGCCAGATCCAAGGGCTCTGGCGCTTTCTGGAAGGCTCTGGTTGGGATTTCCGCCTCCTCCTGCATGTGACCACACAGAATTGACCCTGGCAGCCTCTTACCCAGGACCAGCCTGCGACCCACTCCTCAGTTACACAGGGAAAGCTTTCACAGTCAGAGTAGGGAAGAAAATGCAGGGCTGGGAAGGCCAGGGGGCGGAGGAGGAATGGGAGAGGAAGGGCTACGAATGAACTACAGAAGTACGTGAAGTAGATGAGACCTTGTTCGGGACATGAAATAAAGGTTAGTGGCCACAAGGGCAAGAACCAGTGGAGGCAGAATATTACCACGAAAAGCACTCCGGCCATTTGGGGGGATGGGTTGGGACTTAGACCAAATTCTGCCGACGTGTCTGAGCTCTGGGCGGGCGGGGATTGGGCGGGCGGGGCTCGAGCGTGTGAAGGCGGGATGGGGTGGGTGCGGCACTGGAAGTCTGTTTCTCAGCTGCCAGCTGCGCGTGGGGTGGAGAATGCCTATAGGGTAGGCGGGTGAAAAAGGGAGTCCCCAGAATGATGGCCTGAAGGCGGGAAAAGGTGCCAGATTGGGGGACTCCTGAGGTCACTGACCTTAAAAAGCAGGACGTGTAGCTTCCCGCGCGCCACCAGCAGCCCGTGGTTGGCCTCCAGTCGCTGCACCTGGGCAGCGCGGCTCACCGCCCGCTCCTGAGCAGCGTCGGCGTGCGAGCCCACGCGCTCCGCTTTTGCCAGCAGCTGTGCCAGCGTGTTGCTGGTGGTGTCGTGGCTGCGACTCAGCGCGCCCAGGCCGCTTTGGATGCGGCGTACGGAGCCTGCCAGGCCGCCCTGCCTCTGAGCAAGGCCGCCCTGACTCTCCTTCAGTGCTTCCAGCATGGTGGCCAACTTCTCCAGCAGGGTCACCACCGTCACAGCGTGCACCGGGCCCCCAGGAGGAGCTCCGGACGCAGGCCCGGTTTCCAGCGCGCTCTCCCCCATGATCCCTGACCGCCCTGCCAGCTCTCCCTGCGGCCGCTGGCTGCGCTCTGCGCTGGGGCCGCCTTTCCCCGGCTCCTCCCCAGCTCCCGCCGTGACTCAGGCAGGCGGAGTTGGCCTTTTCGGTGGGTGGAAGGGCAGGGGGAGGGATGTCTGTTGCGGGGTCCTTCCGAGGCGCTCCCGCTCCTGCTGCCCCGCCCAGGGGAACGGTCGAGAAGCAGGTTGGCCCAGCAAATCCTCTCCCTCTGAATATGCTTTCCCCTCCTCCCCGCAGTTGCCCAGTGTACCTCTTTCTGGAATGTACTTCCCACAGCATAGGGTGAGTCACGGAAATATTTATTTCATGCATTGTGTGGACATAAAAACTATGTTAGCACGGCAAAAGTATAACCAGAGGAGGGCCGTCGCCTCTTGGCCTCCCACGTCGCTGAAGACTACAGTCGGGCTGACCTCCCGTGGGTCACGTTGGACGGGAGGCCCTGGAATGATCCGTTACAGATCTAGGACTGCCTAGGCCCGAGGCTGCACTTTGTGAATAGTCAGACTGTGAATGTGAGCCAGGAAGGCGGTCGGGCGGGGCATCCTCTGGTATTTTCCTAACAGTCATTGCCAGGCATTGGCTGCAGGCTTTGTTTCTTGCTTCTCTGTTGGATATCATTATATTACTTTCTTACTGAACTTCTCTTTCTTTGGGCTTCATTGATATAGCTCAGCGGTGTCTACCTCCTGCAACCCCCATGCTTGAGGGACAAGCAGGACACCTCTGCTTTTGAAACCCTCAAAATATTAGGGTACTGGTATGTCTTTGTTTGATGGAGGATGGTTGATTACACACACACACACACACACACACACACACACACACACCCCTTTTCTGTAAATAGGTAAGAATATTTCCTGAGAGTGATGATTCGAAATTGCTGATGCTGTGGACAGGGAGAGAGTGAGCATGGAGGGTCAAGTTAATGATGTAAATTATGAATTTGAATGTCATTAGTTTGGAAAATCCCAGGCCTTGTTTTTAGCAAAACTAAGCAAATTGTTTGTGGTCTCAGAAATTCAGGCAATTCTTTGATTCTGATCACTCTCCCTCTTCATCTCCTCATCTGACCTGTGAGAGTCATTTGATAACAACTGTAGGAGAAACTCATGTCACTCGGAGGATAGAACTCACCTGAAAGAACCTGATCTGACTTAAACATAGGAGTACAGTAGAAGATGAGCATCTGATGATGCTAAGTTGGTGCCTAACATCTAGAAGCTGATAGAGCCTGGTCCTTCTGCTTAACACAGAAGACAGACTGCCTTGGGAACCTGACGGGAATCACCATCTCTTCCAGTGGATCTACACTTGCCCAGAAAGGAACTCATTAGGGATGTGCCACTTAGAATGATTTCAGATTGAGCAAACGAAATCCAATTCAAACAGATCTTAGTAACAGGAAACTCAATTCAAACATAAAGACTTTTTAAATGTAAGGTGGGCACAACTCTAAACCTTTTTCTCTACAGTTTCCTCAACTGCGCCCACTGTTCCCACCCTGGCATCAGCTTCATTTTCAGACTGGGAGTAAGGTAGCTACAGTAGTTTCGGGTCTCACATCTCCAGGTAGATCTAGGAGAAAGACAAGACCATTTTAAAATTTAGGACACTTATTTCCCAGAAGCTCCGTGTGACAGACTTTTTCTACTTGCCTTACTCTGAGTCATATAGCCTTTCTAGGAACAAATTCTATGGCCAGAAATGTGTTATATGTTGATAGGCTGAGGCCTTAGTTCCTTAACCAATCACTGACAAGAGAGCTAATAATTCCCCTTTAATAAATCAGGTCCATTTCTGGAGCAGGGTGAGTTCAGTTTCCTCAGAGTATATTGTGTACAGAAAGAAAAGTGAGTATCTCTACAAAAATCTGGGTACACTAGGAATGAGTAGTCAGATTTCCATTACTGTGACAAAATACCCAAGATAAACAACTTAAAAGGAAGAAAGATAAATTTTCCAAGGTTTCAGTTATTGGGAGGCCTGTGGCAAGGCAGTACATCATAGTGGGAGTGCATGGTGGAACAAAGTTGTTCACCTTATGGTGACTAAGAAACAAAAAGAGGGAAGAAGGGACCAGGGCCTTAATATTCCTTCCAAAAGCACACTACCTGTGACCCATCTTACTTTCACTAGGCCCCACCTCCAAAAGGTCCACCACTTCCCAGTAACACCACAGGCTGGGGACCAATCCTTTAGCTTATGAGATTCCAGAGGATATTCACAGTCCAAACCATAACAGTAGTCACTCAAAGATATCTCCTACAGGAAGTCTGTGAAAGAAACCACAACCTTAAGGAATGGTGCTGAGGGAGTCCAGTGTATTTGGAAACAAGAACTACTTGTATAGATATTTTTCAATGGTATACAGGAGAACAAACACCATGTGTGACAGTGGCAGAGATTGTAATTAAGCTGCAATAAAACAGGAGACACTGAGAAGGAAACAGAAGCTGAAAAAAGCGAGGAAGAGTCCTCCCTGAGAAGCTTCAGAAGGAGCGTGACCCTGCCAACACCTTGATTCCACACTTCTAGCTTCCAGAACTGTGAAAGAATAAATTTCCATTGTTTTAATCCATCTGGTTTGTAGTAATTTGTTTTGCTGGTCCTGGGAAACTAACCCAGTTCTAACTTAAACAGTGGCTCTTCTTGTGAGTTTCCAACTTTACAGGGCCATCTACATTCAGTAGAAACTACTTCAAATTTTGAATCTGGATCTTTTTCCAGGCTATGATACACTCTCAGGATGTTGCAGCTCCCATTCACTCACAACGTAAACAACCAGATACTTCATAATGCACTGGGTTGCTAAGCTATTTCTGTAGATTAGGTGTAGTAAGTGCACCACAGACTTATGGTACTTTCAACTTATGGCGAGTTTATCAGGACCTAACCCATTGTAAGTCAAGGAACATCTGTACACCCACTGGTTAATCGCCATCAGTATCAACACCCCCTCCAGTTAACTCTCTGGATATCTGAAGTTCTGTATAGGGAAAGTTAATAGAATCTGGAGACTCCCAATAGAATACAGACAATTGAACTAACAGTTGTCCAGATATAATGAGTGTTACAAAAAATTAGTGGGATAATACAGAAGTTGAGCTAACAAATACTTTTTTAAACCACATTTCTAGCCCTATTTTGTATTTTATTTAGAGATAGAGTCTCACTGAGTTGCTTAGGGCCTCACTAAATTGCTAAGGCTGGCTTTGAACTTGGGATCCTCCTTCCTCAACCTCCCGAGCTGCTGGGATTAGAGGCATGCACACCGTGACCGGCAACAAATGCTTTAAAAAAAAAAAACTAAAACAAAAGTATTGTCCAACCTGCTTTGTCAGGAAAACCTTTATAACCTGGCCTATCAACCATTAGTGATTTTAAAAAGTTCCCCTACACTTTTGTTAGTACTGGATGTACCTGGAATATATCTGCCTAAAAAGACCTGATTGATGGTGGCCCTCTGTCTCTACCAACGCCAAGAAGATCTGGGTGCTCTTTTTACTTTAAGTGACAGCAGAAAGGAAACTTCTGAAAGAAATAGATCAGGTTGCAGTGCCTTTGATGGTATCATTTTATATCTTTGTTTTCTTCATTTCTCAGTAGTCAGGTGCTCCACTAAATAATGGTGCAAAGATCCCCTGAAACAAAAGTGGCAGAAACAATGCAGTTCTTAACATCATACTCATGAAGAAGAGTATCAGGCCCTAGGTCTAGCAACCGGGAGAGATCCAGCAGACAGGAATTGCCTAGAGTAGTAGTACTTAAACCTATGACAGGTAATGAAACAGGAGAGATACCTCCTGCCACAAGAAACAACAGTTAATAGATGCTTGGGCTGTGTTCAGTCTATGCTCCACCTTGGAATTCTGAGTGTGTGTGTGTGTGTTGTTGAGGTTCAAGCCCAGGGCCTTACACATGAGTGTTCTACCACTAAGCCAGCCTCTCACCTTAGGATAATGATGATGATGATGATGATGATGATGATGATGATGATGATGATGATTTTTGGCATCAGCCAGGGATTGAACCCAAGGGCACTTAACCACTCAGATATAATCTCAGCCCTTTGTGTGTGTGGGGGGGGGGTCTTTATTTTATTTTATTTTTTAGACAGGATCTTACTAAGTTGCTTAGGGCCTTTCCAAGTTGCTGAGGCTGGCTTTGAAATTGTAATCCTCCTGTCTCAGCCTTCCAAACTAGGATTATAGGCATGGGCCACTACTTCAGTGTCACCTTAGGATTCTTATAAACTC